CCTCGTAAACGTGCCCATGAGACAGGAGTGTCTCCGAACGAGACAGCAAGAAATCAACGGATTGAGCAGCACAGTTTCCACCAAGCAATGCCAAATCGAGTTGCTCCTTGAGATTGATGTAGCTTTCGGCGGAAGACTGCTGCTCGACACCATCCCAGCAAGTACAAACATCGTAATAGCTACCAGAACAGCTTTCTTGTGTGTACCTCTCGTCATCGAAACAATGTCGAAGCAAAGCTTCGCCATCCGGCTCACGAGCAGCCTGAGCAGCAGCACAGCATTTCTGCTCCAGCCAGCACTTCTCCGCTTCGCTGTGCTGCTGAACGGCAAGCAGGGACCATGCTGCTGTGGGAGCACTGCGCTTCACCGCGAAAAGCGCAGAAAGCACATCCAACCTCCGAGCCATGGCTTTGTTGACTTACGTGCCCATCGCCTGTTGCTCGGCCAGCTGTTGGGAGTCACTGTAGCAAGTGTGGTAATGGGCAGTGACAAATGAGATGTGGGTTATACAAGTTCTGATTGTTGCTGTGAAGTATTGTACAGGCCTGCAACTGTGGACATCAACTTATCCACCAGGTCCATGAATCCCGGGGACGAAGAGCAAAGGCCCGTGAACACAAATCAAGAGTTCTTCCTCAACCCTCCGGGCCTGCGATTTACGAGATTATAGCTGCAAGCCAGTTTAAAGTTACTGGTCTCAGGTCTCTCCAGACTCTCAAGCCACACTCAAGCCTCTGCTGCAAAGGCGGCAAGGCAGATGTGTAGCCTCCAGCACACAAAAGTTAAATCAAGGAACGCATATAGGACAACTGCATGTCAAGCTCATCTTGGGACAGGGTTTTGGCGGCGAATCTAAACACGCACAACAAAAAGTGGGTGCACCGCGCAGCGGCCGATATTGACATGGTGCTGCATCGTATCTTGAGGTGATACTCCAACGATTCCTCACGCACAAATTACACCAAACTGCAAACACAATGCAAGCCATGGCTCCAGGGATGTCAAAAATCAAACACGCAACATGTAACTCTTTTCGCAGCTTGCAACACTTCTAAACAGAAAGACATCACATCATCACGTGGACGCTCCGGGAACACCGATTCACACTTTAGCCTGCGGCAGTCACCCTGAGACACGTACTGAGCTATGCATCTGCTGGTGACGTATCATCAAAAGTGTGCATGAAAAGGACGATCTTTTTGGAGCTCTGCCTGCTGTTGTCTGGGGGTCAACAAGTATGCTTGAAAAAGCCAAACGGACGACAATGAGTCCAACATGGCGTCAGTGTTGCAGATGCGTTCCCGTCACTGCACCACAAGACCAAGACCGTCGACCAACCTTCCATCATAGTGAAATCACGTGCTCTTGGCTGGATCTTGACTGGAAAGCATGTGTAGGACGCCCATTTGAATGCTCCGTAACTTTGGCGACCTTTGCTTTAAGCCTCGCGGCTAGAAGCTGCCCCAACTTGCCAAATCATGCCAGCTTCTGACCGTCAGAAAACCGTGCAGCTTCGAGAGCAGACCCGCTACTTGTAAGACTCGGATCTGGGGCTTGCGCAGTTGCGCTTCTTGACGTGCCGCATGTCGAGATGCTGCAGCATATCCCCACTCCTGACGGTATGCGATTCATTTTAGAGTACTGAAAGCAACTTATCTTCTGCGAGTTGACTGGGATGCACGGCTTAAAACTGCCGTCAGCTAGTCCCGTCTCGTTGGTAGACTGCGTCATGTCATTGAATTGGTTATCGAGCTTGCTGATTCGGTGGTCGATATCATCACGTAATAACAGGTGTACCAGCAGGTAGCCGCCTGGGGGAATGCCGTTCCATCCAAACTGACAATGGATGCGAAAGCAGATTTGGACATCCCTGGCCTTCAGCCGAGAGCTCAGCCGGTAGCTCCTAGCAACCAGCGCCCACCTTGCCCAGGTCCGAGTCTGGAATCGCGAGGACACATGTCCGGAATACAGAGTCCATGCAGCTTCGGCTGTGGGTGTGTGCGTGCTAAACGCAAACCTGAATCCCCCACCAGTTTGCCCGTGGCGCCTGAGCAAGAGAATGCACAAGGCTGCCAGCTGGCACCTGAGCTGCCGACTGCATGATGCAACAAATGGTTGAAAGATGTTGAAAGAGAAGTTAACCTAGCACATTGCAGATGCACCTGTCCGCCTGACGACTCGGTTGACTTGTAGGCTCACTCCTACACTATGAACTTCGGCACCTGACACCGAAGATGAACCTAAGATCTGTAGTAACTGCTGGAAACCCCAGTTTTTGAAGCTCAACCCATAAGGAAGGACCAAGAGATGGAGGCCCAGTCTTGACACCTCTGCGTCGCAACCACTTGGCTGTTCTGGGCACTGGGTGGAGGCGAGATCGACAAGCACGAGCTTCTGCCGCCGTGCTCCCACCTGGAGCTCCTGCAGTGCCGACAGAGACAAGGTCAAGGCTGTACACAAAGAACTCAAGCCCATCATCGTGACAGAGTTTGCTGATCGACGGCCTCCATGCAAAATGATGGGGCCCCGGCCCGCGCCCGCGCACAGGCAGTAGCTACGCGGCGCTCGCCACGGGCAGAAACAGCGAAGATGTGCCATCCCTCGTGCAGGGCTCGTGTTCCCGAAGCTGCGTTTAGGGCTTCTGAAGCATAGAGCTCGCCCAAGATTTGCAACAACAAGAAAGGCTGCAACGCTTCCCAAGTCTCAAATCCACACGGTGAAAAGATACCATCGGTCTGCTGTGATATTCCAATAGCCCGGCAAAGCAAAACACTGCTGAAAGCGTTCCTTCCTAGTCCTTGTCTGCTTTGCAGGTGATCGACATGAGCTTGATACGAAGCCGAATGCAGCAGTTTCCAATCCGACACACGATTCTATTGCATCTCTCTACAAAAGAAAAACTGTCCAGCTTCCAAAACGGCTCACTTGCCCTACGTCCACGTGTCCGTCAAAGGGCCTCCAAGGCCCAGCGTCGAAGATCTTCGTGTAAGCTCTTCGATTTCCTTGGCTTGACCACATCTGTCCAACAATAGCTACCCGAACAGCCAAGATGCATGCTTTTCAGTGACCCCCGGGTCCTAGCATAGGTTGGACATGGGATCGAGGGACTGCTGAAACGAGCTTTCGAGATCTGCTGTTGCAGTCCGTGATCCTACGGAGCCTCATCGCACGGGAACACGGAAGCCGAGAGCACCATGGGATCAGGTCCCGCACCCTACTTGGATCACTCTTTTCGCAAAAAAAAGCTTGTCTGAACATCTACTTTGGAGATGGCCGACTGCTGCTGGACCTCCAGCCCCTTAGGCATTCAGAGCTCTGTAAGGAAACCGCTGGCCATCTCCCATTCAAAATGATGCAGTGGAAGCTCATGTCAGGAATGTCTTTTGCAAGACATCTTGGCCTAGGGTCGCGGTACTCGTAAGGACACCTGGACAGCGGACGCCTGATGAAGACTCTTCTCGGCATTCGGAACCCAGCCTACTGAGCCAAACAGCAGCAATGGTGAGCTCTGGCTGTCATCGTCCGCTCTTTGCACATCTTCCGTGCTAGTCCAAACCTGGTTGACTTGACTTTAGATACTTTAGCATGCACCAACTCCTGCATAGGACAGCAAAGCAGTATGAGTAATTGCCAGCGGTGGATGGCCAAGATCTTGATGACAGTCCATCGGAAACAAACAATTCTGGCGACAGAGATTCCAGGTCCGGACTGTCGCTCGCCGGCCTCATCCGGCACGACGCTGCAGTATAGTATCAGGTGTTGGCTTCTTGACAAACCGAATGAGTTTAGTTGCATTATGCATAGTCTCTGTCAGAAGCCCAGAGTTCCATTCGCCACTCTCTGTGCAACATGTCTCTTTATGAGCTAGCTCTAGTGTCAGAGTTAGAGGCCTTCTCAGGTGGTTTTGGCCTCCGTTCCCGGATCTCCCTGGGGAAGTGGGTGGACCTGTTTCAAGATCAGGCCCTGCAGGCAAGCGTTCTGGAGAACCTCAAGTGTCAAAACTATCTTGCACGCACGCAGACATACACACAAGCTATTGCCTCTTTCATCGAGGTGTGCTGGTAATGGGGGGCAGCGAGCGACCAAACATCAATATCACCATAACATATCGCCAACGAATGGTGTTTTAGAAACATGTTGGTGGTCTGCACGGAAATTCATCTTCATGCATGGCATGCCATCAGTGTGCACTAGTCGCTTGACAAAGCAACATCTCCTGCAAACCTACCTGTGTGGCTTCAAGCACGTCGATATCCAAGATTCGTGTGGAACAATTGGTGACCAGAGTGACTAGTACCGACCAGTACCAACGCCGTAATTTGCCTCATCACTTTGAATCCACGAGATGATCATTTTCTTCGTCTCATGATTGCAGCCCTATGGCGGACAGCTTTGGTGGCACAAGTATCATCGTAGATGCATGGCCAGGCTGTTGCGTTTGTTGCATGTAAGGCAGTTTCCTTGCGCATGTGTGGAGAAGCCATGTGCAAGCTCATTGACGTGCGGTGCACTTCATTCTCGTGGATTCGCATCATCACCGTGATTGCAATGCCGATGAGTCCGAAGTCAGCAGCTAGCAAGCATTTCCGTGGATTCAGGTGGTCTGTGGGTGCGGACGGGTGCTTCATGCCGGACCAAGGAAGCAGTTGCACATTGTGTGAAACCGTATCTAAGAGTTGGTGCAAGGGAAACAAAGCTCCAGTGAAAGGTTGGCACATGTTGTGCCAACTGGAAAAATTCTTTGGAAGAATGCACCACCCTCGGATTCGCGAATAGCTGCTCTCGCAACGGGAGGGAGCCCCCAAATTTTTAAGAACGGCTCATAAACACTGCTTGCCCCGAGCTGAACACTTTCGAACACAACTGACCACAGAATCGAGAAGCTTCGGGCACTGCATCTTCAGGACTTCGGGACTGACAGCAAATCCGAGACACCAAACAACCTCCGCACATCCTCTAACACGGTGGCTTTGCCAGCATCGGTGACACATCGGAGGCGTTTAGATTGCCAGACCTTGGTATGGCAGCGTAGAGGAGGCGGAGGATTCGCCACCGATCTCCGCTTTCTCAGAGGCGTACATCGGCAACTTATCCAGCTGCATCGGCAGCAGTTCCGACACGTCTTCGGCGTGTTCCGCCTCAGCCTCTGCTTCTGTCGGCTCGTCGTCCTCAGCGTCCTCCTGGGCCCCGGCCAGGCTTAAGTGTGAGTCTCGGCTACAAACGACGGAAGATGACGGAAGCCTGCCACAAGTGCTCGATAAACCCTAAGCCGCTACACGTGCATGGCAGGCACTTCATGGGTAAAGCTCCTCTTGTGGCTGTCGTGTCTTTTCACCGCCACGCCGGCGTTGGACGATCAGGGCTCCAGCCTTATACAGGCAATCCAAGCCAAGTTTCACCGCCGCCCTGGCCCTGTGCTGTTAAGCCTGCTGCATCTCAAATCGTGACTGCACATCAACGTGCTTCACCTTGAAACTTCAAGTGTTTCAACTGATCCCCGGAGTTTCATTTATGGGCTTGGACAGGTCGGCCCACTGCCAGGAAGTAATTGCAGGCCAACTCGGGTCCCAGGAGCTCCAGCCGCGATGGCCATTGCAAGAAAGACGCCGGAGCCCCAAAGGCTGGACGCGCATGCCTCGACTTCTGCCCTCTGCCACATGTTGCAATGACCACCCCACTCCGGAATATCACAGTTTGGGGTCTTGGGGGGTGGCCGCTTTCACTCTGCTGATGTACCAGTCTGTTCTATTGCTTATCCTTTGGCGTTGCCGAAGAGTCTGCAAAGGCCACGCGCGGCTAACTGAGCACCCACGAGACGTTCTCACTCATTACCTGCTCATTCCCAACTTGACCTCTCTCCAAGACCTTATGCTAGGCACAACAGCCTTCATTCACAACCTAATACAGCCCCCTTGTCTACAGCTCTGCAAGTAATTGTGACAAAAGCCGAAGAAATCATGCCCTAGCGGAAACCCATGGTAATTGGAAGCCTGATAGGCATGCTTAGTGTTCCTGCATCGTCAAATCGCCGAAACTGTTCTGCAGAGCTTGCACTCCACCTTAGTCAACTCTCACACACGTGGAAGGCTCGGATGCTCCTGGCGTCCGCTGTGCCCTTTCACTAACTCGCGTGCTAGAGACCGATGAACTCGAAAGCCCAGGTTGCGAAGCCGGCTAGCAGGCGTCCCGCATCCACGACAACCTTGCAGCAAACGCAGACAGAGATTGAATAAAGAATTCAGCTCGGAGACACCAATGACGCAGTAAACCTCTCCAGACACTGTTCGAACATCTGGCGAATGAACTAGGGGTCGACGTGCAGATCAGGGCCACAAAATCTAAGCCTCTAGTGAGATCAGTCTCATCACTTCCTATAAGAACTCGGGAGTTAAGACTCCACCCGTGGGCCATTGCCGTCCCAGAGACCAGCACCAGCACCACGATCCCAGCCGTTTGCCTGGTTGGCAGTTAGTTGCACTGGTTCCGTCAAAATGGCTCAAGTGCCACTCTTGGGGCAAACCCTGCTTGAACGAACCCCGCTGAGCTTGTATGAGTCGTGCACTTTGGCTTACATCTGGAGAAGTCGTGGGTGTCAGCCCCCGCCGAAGACGATGGCGACGGGTCGTCAGACAATGACACTTCCTGTGCCGTGTCAAACGGCGAATTCGTGCAATAAGCTGCTCTGCAAGACTTGTGTGGAGACATGACAGAGGCCAGTCCAGACAGCTTCCACCAAGATCGCCTGAACTAAACTGACTAGAAGCACTTTCCGGATAACCAGCGGAAAGGAGACAAGCGTTACTAGCTGACTCCGAGCTAAGCGATGACCGGCAGTTGGGTTTGGTCAGCCATGGACAGATAGAAGAAGTGAAATCAGAGTGGCCGACCTGTGGTAGCAGCCAGCTTCTCGTTTGCAAGTGATGCTGGGACAAACATCGAAGCCAACTGAGACAAACCACTCACAGTGAGGCTAACAACATGACCGTTCGAAACACAGATTCACAAACTCCCGCGCTCAAATCCTCGGAACAGCGACCAAGTGGCAGATGATCCCTGGCTCCAGCCAACTTTGGTGCGAAATGATCAGACAAGTTGATCCTGGGAACAGACGGACAAGCTGGAGTCTGGGATGAAAGTGCCGAATCAGCTTAGGGCAGGGCTTTGGGCTTCGCTCTACAATTTGGGGTGAAGGATTCGATGATGGCCTGTCCTCAACTTGACCCATGTCGGAAGTCGAGTTGCCCTTTGAGCTGCAAGGGTCTGCGCCGATTCCTATATTCAATGTGCAAGTGCAGCCCAAGGCTCATGACCACAAGGCAGGCTGGTACCCAGATCATGTTGACGCCCACAAGAATACCCATCACCTTTGTGCCGTCGAGAACGAAAGCTCTGCAGAAACATGCGGGGCCTGAGCCTGACTTGCGAAAAAGCGCCAAAACTCAACACTGCTTGTGCTTCCACATCAGCCCTTTCGGTTGGAGTGGAAGCCGAAGTGCACTTGTGTGTGCTTGTGCGCGCGAGTGTGTGCATGTTTCAGCAGTGATAATCTGCAAAGATGCCTTCCTACACAAAGCGTTCAATCTCTATTTTTTTACACGTCCGACCACCCTCGTAGCACAAATCATGTCCGAGCCGCTGCCATTACATCTGCACGCACCAGCAAAGAATTATTGGGGTCGGGATGTCCATGACTTCGAGTTACGTAAGGCTGGTATTTCGACATGCCCAACGCTTCGGGTTCTAGTTTGCGCCATCTCTCTGGATTTACATGGGCTTGACATGGACTTGCTCCAAAGAGGTTGAAGCCAAGACTCATAAGAGAGCAAGCTTTCTCCCGATGCCCCTGCATTCACCAAAGCGAGGAGGAAGTCAATAGAGACGCCTGGGATCAGAGGTTTCTGGGTTTAGCATGCTTGAACTGATTTTGCTTGACGTTTCGACATTTTGGGGGGGGGCAAGCTGAGGAGGAAGGGCAGGTGTGCAAAGGCATGCAGAACTCGATGCGAAGCGCTACTGTGAACTAAGTCGGAGCTCGACTGCTCTGGGGATAGTCTCTGGTCCTGCAGTGCCCGCTTCGTGCTCTTGGCTTGTTCAGTTCTGTCATGGCAATCCTGCGAAGCAGATGCTAGTGATCAGGGCTTCGGGCCTGTGCAAATCCGGCCTCAATCGACATTCCGGTTAGAGAGACCTTCACATGACGTCTGACTTGCGAGGCCACGCCCGAGGGAGAAATCTTGCCGCCAAAGATGCTTGCTGTCGGTGTAACGAAGAGTAAAAGTCCATATAGAGGGACATGGGTGGAGCCTCTCGGAGCGAGACCAGGCAGCTTTTCAAGACAAGAAGGATGCTGCTCGCTTTGCGTAACCAATGTGTCACGCAGCCATACCCGGGACTTCCAACCCGTGGCTATGAAAAGACAGTGACAATCTCTGAAAGCCCAGCCGGACAAGGGCCTATGGCTGCTTGAAGCTCTTGCCGCAGCGGCCCCTGAATAAATGCCGCGAAAGCTTCCTGAGGCACTTCTGAGATGCAAGGTGTGCATCTTTTGTGTGCGCGGGCTCTGTGCTTCCCGAGGGATCCTTTTGACACCTGAACATGCCGAAAACAGCAGTAACTTAACTCCGCTCCGAGTCCTTGTTGCCGTACCACTTCGTAATCGCCTCGTGGATGAACTCTCCTCAGAGAAGGGTTTTCGGATCCTCCAGTTATGTTCGCTCAGCGGTTCGCAACGATTGCTGACACCTTTGGGCCCTCGGCCAGTCCGTCCGCTTGGCACTCTCACCTCTGACAAGCCTGGCTGCCCTGCTCTGACTGCAGCTCAAGGCTCCATCAAACTGGTTCGAGCAGGAGACTTGATTGAGATCCTTGTTGGGTGCTACAGATCAAACTCCGGAGGCAAGTAATGAACTCAAAAGTGCATGTTGGCTCATATCCGTTTATTGTACACATGGGCTGATCATGACAACCATAATCGCGCACAATGCCTGCATCAAGTCAGCTTGCCATGTAACACACGACCATGCAACTCTACACTGTGCACTCTTGCGTTTTCAAGCGCTCAAGCTTGACGGCACATAACATGGACGGCACATAATATGTCATAGTATAAACCCTAAACCAGTAAAACAACTTAAACCTTGAACACTGGCATAGTATACTGTACGATGATCTACTGATATGATACTATACGAGCAAATACTATAACATAATACAATGAATACCAGACACTAACATAATGCAACACATAACACACATCGAATATAACAGATAATATGCTATGCTCCAATATCCGCCGACCCCTGCCGGGGCGGCGCCAGTGAAATCCCGAAG